ATTTTTACGGCTATGGTGAGAAACGTTTAAAATCTACAACGGCCCCGTCGCGTCCTTTCAGATATACTAGTGATGCGACGAGAGGTATTTGACGTTGACCGGTATCGGCACTCTGGGGATTTGAATTTTTACCTTTTATTATTTGTCTTTTAAAGGAGTTTTATCTTCTAACCAATAACTGTGTCTTCCGTGGTTGTGTGAAAAGGATTTAATGATAGACTCGAAAATATTAATATGTTTTTGTAAATAGTCTAACTTCAAAAATTAAAACAATAACAATGTTTTCCTGTCTTGATAGAGCATTTTTATCGCTTGGTAAGGTCTCCCCTTTACGTTAATTTAATACTTTATCCGGATATTCAATTCTAGGACTTCCACGACTCGTTTTTCCCTCTACTTTCCTTCGTGTTCATATTCGTGTGGAATTTCTAATCAAATGTCCAATCAAATCGTCCCTCCTCTTTTCTATGATTGTCAAGAACAGTCATTCTTTTCTTGCTACAATCAGAATGTCTTCGTTTCTCCTTTGTTCCGTCCACGATACGCGTGGCATTCCTCGCCACATTTCCAAGTCCTCCCTCCGGCTTACAATTTCCTGCCTCCCGAAGTGTCCGGGTAGTTCTAAGCCATACAATACTATACTCCGCAGGAAACTTTTCACGAAACGTTTTGTAAATTCTATTGAAATATTTTTTTATGTCAAAACAAATAAATTTTTATGTCTCACTCAAATCAAATGCAGGATACACGGGTAGGACTCCTCCTGAATCCCGTACAGAGGGAAAAGAAAAATGACAACTGGGACAAGGGCGACCCACTAAACTCGAATCGAAGCGCTCTCTCACAGTAAAAATATACCATTATTGTAATAAAATTTTTAGTAACACTAGGTCACCAATTTCTAAATTTGATGATGAACGATGCCACTTACCACATAGTTGGAGAGTTGTCAAATACTCTGCATTCCACTGTCTCCAGAAGTATGGAACTGTTTGTTGTTCAGTACAAAGGTAATGTAGGAAGAACTATATCACTCAAGTCAGGTTCTGGGATAGCAATCGAGGGTGCCCCTACTAGAAAGTGACCAGATGTTAATACCTGCGAGTCATTGGGATCGCTTGACATTGAACAAAGGGGACGACTGTTTAAGCGTGCTTCCATCTGTGTTAACAACGTTACAAACTCTTCGTACGTTAATTAATAATGTAGCTCCTATAACTTTCCTTAGGTGGGACTTCATAGATTTTACGGCGGATTCCCAAATTCCTCCAAAATGAGGCGCGGCTTTATATTAAAAATCCACGTTATGCCTTCACTGGTGGTGAAATGAGCCAATTCGCTACTCGGTTGTCTTTACAGACACACACTCAAACTTCCTTCGGTTCTTTACTAGCCTTTTTTAAGTTGGAGGCACAGTCACTCATAATTTTAACTGATTTTCTACGACGTGCAATAAATCTCTTCGGCAAAGCTATAAATGTTGGTGTAGGTCACTGATCAACTCGAAGTAGACAGCCTTTTTGGAAAAACATACAAAAGTTAGCAACATAGCACTGTGAAGTAGTGTTACCATCCGTCCGGTTTTCACCCGGACAGTCCGGGAATCTCGACTCACTGCCCGGGTGAACTACTAATTTTGTCCGGGAATATCGTGCGCAACCTGTCCACCTTTTTGTTTTTTTTTTTTCTTGTACGATTCGTATTCATACACGTCTCCAATATCCAATAGAGCTAAGTCATCTGTAGTTGTTTTTTCTTAATTTAGTTACTTACGTTACTCCTACCCGAGTCTCGCTAGTCCCTAACTGTAACTGATTTAGAACCGGCATGCACTGCACTTATTCTTCGCAATGCAAAATGACATTGCGCACGCGTCAGGAACTTCTGTTCGAACAAACCTCACCTGCCGTCTGGGTCGGCGATTTTGAAAAGGCGGCAACACTACTTTGAAGATCTAACACCTTTTCCATCTCATAATTTAAACAAATAAGGACCGGCATAATCTAATCCAGTGACAGTGAAAGGCCTACTGGGTTGAACTCTAGGGGCTGGTAAATCACCTATCAACTGAGAGGCAGTTCTTCCCTTGATTCTTACATAGGTGACACATTTATGTATAATATTGCGAACTACATTTTTCCGGACAATATCCAAAAAGGCATTCTACGAATACTCATGAGCAACTCTTGGCTAGCATGTAAGTGAACAATGTGCTAGTAAGTTATGATTTGTGATATGACTCCTAGCGAGAAGACGGGATGTTGTATGTCATTTCAGGAATATTGGCATTCTTTAAACGACTTTCCACACGGATGACATCCAAAACGAGAGCCAATTGAATTATTCTACTGTGGACATCTAATTCCTTTCCCAACCTTAAACAAGCACGTCCTCGGTAAAATATGATTTTTGAACATTATTAACCTCTACAGGCTGATTTTAAATAGATCCTGGAACGATAACCAAACCTCAACATTTCCACTAAAGGTCGGAAGAGATAGTTTCGGAAGTCTTACATTCAGTACCTGTGATTTTAGACCATCGCATCACTTGTAGAAGCAATTCTTTACTTAGAATTCTACCGTTCGACCATTAACCAAAATTCGTCAACATATTCCTCAATGGATTGCAGCTCCTCTACATACATTTCAACTTCCTTATCGTAACATTGCAAAAATATCTCGCGAAATACATGATGTAATTCAACTCTAAGTTTCTTAATTTTGGTTTGGAACGTTCTATTTGGGTATCGTCTGCGATATCAATACTGGCACTTATCCTTTCCTTGAGACTGGTAGTGTTGGACTTAAGTGTGCGTTAACGAAAAAAGTCCTTAAGACCTTCCATGATAACGACTAATAATAAAAAGGCTCTCACTTGGCTGAGCTTATTGAATCATGTTTCTACGGGGTTAATCCAAGGAATACGAACACCAATGCACGTGATAGAAAGTTCCAAAGTTTTCTATCCACTTCAATCCGGCAGAAATCCGCCTCGACGGACCAAATAGTATTTATAAATTGATTACAAAATGATGTAGCCGGCAATGTCCGAATTTCACACTTTGCCGGTTTCACACTATATAGAATGTGACGGCCAAATGGCCGAGGTGGCAGTCTAACGCTCTGAGGACACGGGATCGAATAAGCCCCAGGAATTATTCGAGTGGTGGTCCGTGCGGATGTCGGGCCCCGGCAGAACTCATAATGGTCTTGGTGAGAGGCCTTTTGTGCCCACGGGGCAGGAAGATTTTAAAAAGTATATACAACATATTCGTGTATTTCCATATATTCAATACCAGTAGTGCCAAAACTTTTCGTTTGACCCGCCAATCGAAAAGTTAGTGTTAGTATTCTCTATTAATAATAAAAATTTAGTTTATATTAATACGTCTATAAAGCAACTTATTTAAATATGGCCAATTTAATTTCGTCTATGGCCCACTAGAAGCTTAAACCTACACTGGTCTAGCGTATATTTTGCATACCGACGAGATATCGTGATATCTTTGTATCAGATGAGCAAGAATCAATCCGTTTGTCCCAGAAAATGGCATACAGAATTTTGTCGTTGGAAGCAACTTGTCGGAACTTTCGGGTGTGGAGAAGCAGTATGTTCTCATCGTTTCTATTGCAGTTTTCTATCGGACTTGAAAAGTGGAATCCAAAACTCATCTTTGGCGGTTTCTTCCATCTGCAAATTCTCGAAACCCCTTGCAAACTGTGCAGACAGCAAGAACAGACTCCCCAATATCCATTAACTGTGAATTTCACTCTCTTTTTCACAAGAAAAATTTTGACAGCACACTGCTCCTGAACCGGAAAAAACTCCTATGCTCAGACACACTCGGAAACAGATGCGTGAAAAACGCGAATTACTCAGCGACTAGTGGAATTCACGAGGTAACTGGCAGAGGTTGCTCAAACTTGTCCTTAGAGGGAGTGCTTAGTTTGCAGTAATTCCCAAACTTTTCCACCCCTTGTTCCATAGTTATACCCAATGCCCCTATTCCATTTGTCCTTGTGAAGCATGGAAACATTCTTAGGAAAACTTTTCTATGAACCTCACACTATATTGTTCTCCATATCTGGATACCATTAAACGCAGTTTCTTCTTATTCGTTTAAGAGGAAAGGTTGTCAGTGATCCCAACCTTTGCTTATGGTCACAATTCAGTATCCCCTAGATTTACTCACCACCGACTGAGAACCACTGCCTAGAGGGAAACTGTACATAGTTCTGGTATGCACCTCTTATTTCTTTAAGCATTAATAATAACGTGCAAGCTGGGCACTTGGATGAAAAACTTGTTAATGAAACCATCTAATTAATGCCATACACAGTAAGTTTAGCGATCATTTCCAGAAATGATCATTAACACTTGGTTTTTTGATATAAATGAATATGAAAAAGACGAAGAAAAGAATTCATTTACATACATACTTCTTAAAGTAGCGGACTTGTGAAATAGTGATAGACTGAGTCAATTTTGGTCTTGCTATTTATATAGTCTATGTAATAAAAACCTCTTGATTACAGTACTTTTTAACTTGGTCTGAGTATTCACTAGAGTTCACTATTTAATAAAAGCTGTATGATTCATATTATATAGTTTATATAAACTGTGAGTTAAAGACGACTATAAATAAAACATGGTCTGTAAAATTTGATTATATTTAATTGATAAATTATGATAACAGTTTTTTTTATTCTATTTATGAAAGATGATGTATTTTGTAGCAGGAAATAATTTTTATTAATAAATTTAAAAGCTATTATTTCCTGCTGCAAAACTGCTTTGTCTTAAAATCCAACAAAAATAAATTTGACAAATGTTTTAAGTTTTGTAAAAATGAGTTTGAGAAAACACTATTTAAAAGGCAATGAAAAAAACAGATCAGAATTTGACTCCTGTTATTAATAATACATAAGATGTTAATTATATAAATTAGAGTAACTTCTTTTAAAACAAAGTCTTACCTTAGAATAAATAAACCAATATAACAAAGAACACTTTATTCACGTTGTATTACAAGCATGGGTGGTCTTGTTAATAACCATCTATGTTCCTTTAAAGACACCAGACTCTTTCCATTTTAACCAGTCTCTAACTATTGGAATCTTTAAGAAAAGTAATTGCTAATTTTTTACAGATCATTTTCATTACTGTTTTTGTAAATACTATTAATTATTTTATTCTAAGCTTGGAAAGTGGCTAAGAAATCCGTAACGATCTTCTTCATCTTGGCATCTGTTTCGTCGCTTATCTTTCCTTCCGTGGAAATGGTCTTCAACAAATCTTGGTGAGAAGTACGGATGTGTTGCAGAAATTCGTTCTCAAATTTCTGGATCTTGGAGGGATCCAGTTTGTCCAGATAACCTCGCACACCAGTGTAAATTACTGCCACTTGATCTTCAATGGGCATCGGAGCTGAAAAAGTATACAAAGTTATTGAAACATTTTAATTATTTTATATTATAAACACAAATGCTTCATGTACTGTATTGTCCTTGTTTTAGCAGTTCAGTCAGACGAACGCCCCGATTCAGTAGCTGTTGTGTAGCGGCATCCAAGTCGGAACCGAACTGGGCAAAGGCGGCCACTTCTCGATATTGAGCCAATTCTAATTTCATGGAACCTGCAACCTGCAGTATTATAGTTTATTTTAAATCATTATCCTATATTATACATACTTATTGAACTAAAGAAAAATAAGTTTCTAGTGCTAATATTTTTAAAATCAAAATTTGTAAAATAACAGATCTATATTAGAATTAAACATACCTGTTTCATAGCTTTAGTTTGAGCGGCAGATCCTACCCGACTGACGGACAAACCGACATTGATGGCCGGTCGGATACCTTTGTAAAAGAGCTCTGTTTCTAAAAAGATCTGTCCGTCGGTAATAGAAATTACATTTGTGGGAATGTATGCCGAAACGTCTCCGGCCTGAGTTTCGATGACAGGCAACGCAGTAAGTGAACCGCCTTTAAACTGCTCATTCATTTTGGCAGCTCTCTCTAGTAATCTCGAATGAAGATAAAATACATCTCCTGGATAAGCTTCACGACCGGGTGGACGTCGAAGCAATAGGGACATCTGTCTGTAGGCTACAGCCTAAAAACAAATTTTAATTTAATAAATGTATTATGTTAAAATAATAAATAGCTATTTTCTTTTACCTGTTTAGACAAATCATCATAAATGATAAGTGCATGCATTCCATTATCTCTGAAATATTCACCCATGGCACATCCAGAATATGGAGCAAGATATTGTAAAGGAGCAGCATCGGAAGCAGTTGCACTGACAACAATGGTATATTTCATAGCATCTGTAATTTATGATGTAAAACATCTTACAATATGAACTAAACACTAAAATACAGATTAATTAAAAAATTCATCACTTTTAAGTCATGTGAACCATTGTCATAATGATTCACATTGGCTGTGTTCAGCAGACTCAACAGTTCCAGAGCTGTTAAGTACTTTTCTGTCGAACACCCTCTACAGTAGTGCTGTCTTGGAACACGTTCGGTATTTTGACATTTAGTACATTCTTTCATTTACACTACCTATCGGTAGTTGAAACTGACTAATGATGGATGCTTCCTGTTTCAATGCACACATCACTCATCATTCAGCAAATGTAACTACGCAACAGCTACCGATTGAAATATCTTTGATCAGTTACAACTGTTCATTCTGCTGAATGCAGCCATTTTCAACAAGACATCATTTTTGCCTACTATATTTGTATTTATCCAAATTTATTTTAAAATTCTATTTTTGATGTTTTTAGCTATATATTAAGTAACAAATGCTTCAATGAAAATGTTTCTCATAATTCAATTTCCCATTTAAACAATCTGAACAGATAACTATACAGATTAGTATGTACACACCTTCCCCCTCTCATGATCTGAAAATGTACTGTACAATATATTTAAAGACAAAATTATCAAATCATATTGATCAATTTCCTTGATTATCATATTCTAACAATACTAATATTCTAGTATTAACAAAACCTCTTTCTCTATCATTGGAAATATAATATCTTCAGACCACTAAACATCTTCACCTTTCAGCAAAACATGTAAAATGTAACAATTCACAAATGTTTTCAGAATCACCTGATTTGATGAATTCCAATTTGAATCAAACTGTTTGAACCTGAAGCTGAAATCAGGTAATTCCAAAAACATCTGAATTGCTACATTTTACATGTTTTGCTGGAAACTGAAGAGGTACAGTAGACTCCCCTATAACACGGGTTCATATAACATGGCAGAAAAATTGCGACCGTGTTTGTATAACACACTAAAAGAATGAGACAGATTGTCATGGCCAACTCGTGTCTTGACAGGATTGGTCAAATCTGGACCAATAGCAGACATTGCACAAACTGTTGAGTTTAAACGAGCAGCACACCTACTAAAAACCATTTATTATTTAATGGCTATATAAATTATATTTCTATTAATGATGTCTCCAAAGTTCAGTGAATTTTTGCAGAAAAACAACTTTTCAGGAAACATGTGCCCGCCATTCGATGAGCCGCTCCGCAACGAAAACAAGCTTAAGCAATGGCGTCTTCAAACGGTGCGCACTCAGTAAGTAATCCTACAATATTTTGTTTGTAGCATAGTTTATATGGATTATTCCAAAAAAATTATATATGATTTAGAAATGTTGAGTCAAATTATTCTAGAATCGATTAATTTTATGGAAGAAAACCATTCAAACAGCCATAGTCCGTAAACTGCAAACATGCTGGGCTGTGATTGGTTCAAGTATTTAAGTGACTTGTACAACACAGAATTCAGAGGGTCTACTGTATAGTGATCTGAAGATTAACAGCATTATAGTAGTAACCAAATTTTATATAACTGAATATCACGTACAATCTTTCAAGTCAAATTTACAGAATGGAAAAACATAATTTTAAGAACAAATGAATTAGTAAATTCTGAAACACTTCACTTCATTTTACTTATTTTCACAAAGTTGTTTTATCAAAATATTGAATGAATTTACCACCTATTGCCTTTCTTAGTATAGACATTTTTAATGGTTTGACCATGTTCTGTTCCATATATAAGAGGGGTTTATTCCTGGTTATATGTAAGTTATTAGTCTTGCTAAATAATAAGTTTAATTCATCTAATTTAGAAAAGAATGGAAATTTACACTAAATTGGTAATCTTAATGATCACATCAGTCATCAACTTTTTGTAATTTCTAGTTCATTTAAACTGCATCATCAGATACTCTCAAAATTCAGAATTTGAAAAGTGATAAAAATCAACATCAAAACTCATCACTAATACATCTATGAACTTTTGAATGAGTGCTGTATTTAATCTGTGAAACCATTTTATGTTATATTAGAAATTCACTTCATATGTATAATGCATCATAGCAGTTTACTAACAATTTAAATGTTTTTGAATTATTCATCTATTATAAGAACACAGCATACCAGTAATTTGGTAATATTGACATAAAATATGCTTTTTAAAATATTTTAATTAGATAAAATATTTCAAATATTACTCTAACAAGGGGACCTTATGGTCTCGGAAATTCAGTTCGGGATGAGACTTTGCAGGTTAGTAGTATACCTCAAGAGTGTCCACCCAGAAGAATTGTAATGCGCACTAGCCAGAAGATTCTGAGAAAAAGGGCTCTAAAGTTTTAAGCGCAGCTCATATACTGGTAGATTTTACACTAGGACAGCATAGCAAAATAGCTGAGTCTGTAGCAAACTCGCTTGCCATGCGGCTAATCTAGGTTTGATTTTACCTTTGGCTAATTTTTTTTAATTGTTTTAAAAATTATAACTTTTAAATAAGGTTAATGACCTAAAAATATTATCAATTAAACCATAAATACTTTTATTTTATTTATGAAATGACTGTTACAGCTAATTAAAATGAATTAACAACATAAAGATAATATTTTATTTTTAAAAAGTTGAATAATTTCAAATGAATTTTTAATGGAGGCAAATTAAAACTTTAATTACTGTTGTCATTAAAAAGTTATTACAAATTTTAAGATATTATAAGCTATGGAGAGGTTAAAAATATTCATTGTAAATTTGAGGAACTGGTTTCTACATGGAAGAGTAGTGTACAGCTGTTGATTATTATTAATGATTTAATGGATAATATTTTTAGGTCATAACTTTATTTAAAAGTTATAATTTTTAAAACAATTAAAAAAAAAGTTAGCCAAAGGTAGGATCAAACCTAGATCACTCGCGTAGCAAGTGAGTTTGCTACAGACTCAGCCATTTCGCTGTGCTGCCATAGTGTAAAATCGACCAGTATATGAGCTGTGCTTAAAACTTTAGAGCTGTTTTTCTCAGAATCTTTTGGCTAGTGCACTTTACAATTCTTCTGTGTGGACACTCTTGAAGTATACTACTAACCTGCAAAGTCTCATCCCGAACTGAATTTCTGAGACTGTAAGGTCCCCTTGTAAGTTTATTTCTAGCTCAACTGAATGTTCTGAAAAAAAAAAAAAAAATAATAATAATATAGTAATATATGAAAGTAGTCTTGTAGATGCAAAACATACACATTTCAAAAATTACACCTGACTATAATAGCAAATAAGTGAAAGAACTAGGCTTTATTGTTGCAAATATATATCAATTATGATAAATACTATCTTTAAATGTACTGCTAAATTTTAAATTTTGTTTTAAGAGTAAACGTCAAAACACCAATACAAATACCATTTTTTCATTATGTACTGTACATAAAATGTGATAAACTATTAAATAATTGCACTCACCAGAGTCTGTAAGTCTCTTAACTATCTGTGCTACAGTACTTCTTTTCTGACCAATAGCAACATATATACAATATAATTTCTTTTTCTCGTCAGTGCCTTCATTAAAATTTTTCTGGTTGATGATAGTATCAATGGCAATAGCCGTTTTTCTACAATAAAATTCCACAGCATCTTAATCAAAATTACTTTTGAAGTTAAATAAAAATAAATAAAACTTTACCCCGTCTGCCGATCTCCAATAATCAATTCACGCTGACCACGTCCTATGGGTACTAGACTGTCTACAGCTTTGATGCCCGTCAACATTGGTTCTCTGACAGAAATACGAGGAATAATACCCGGAGCCTTTACTCCTACTCTTGCCCTAGACTTTGCATTAAGTGGCCCCTTTAACAAAATTAAAAAACAAAAATTAGACATTTAGAAAACAATATGTTGTGTGTATCTACATAAACACATAATGCTTAATTTTAAAACATCCATAAAAACTATTTCATCTAATATTTTCAAGACAGAATAGTGTGTTAAATAATATGTTTGTGAATAATGTCAATTAATTTGTTTAAATAACAAAGTATTACTGTGTGAGATGTTAGTGCTAGACTGTTTTTGATCACATTCTAGGGTAAAGATATTTCCAATTTAGCAGGAAATTCAAATCCAAGATTTGCATTTTCCCCAAAATTTAAACTTTTGGTCACTACTCAAAGTTTTGAATACTTGAATGTGTTGTGAACTTAATTACAATACTTTATAACTTATTACATTACATAAAATTATTGTTTTACGTAATCTTATTTCTTCCACTAGTACGTATCTATTAATAGGAGTCATTAAACTGGCTTTAAGGATACTGCAACTCAGTTTCACAGATTAAAAATTTGTTGTTTTATTTAATTTACCTGGACACATACATGTTAATATTGTGTTTCGGACTTGTTCGTCCCTCAGCAGGTATTTATATGACACATTAATTTCAGGGCTAATTCTTTCTATTCTGATTTCCACCAAGCAATTAAATTTAAAAATTATTAACAGTAACTTTTTAAACAAATTCATCTCCAATTGTTCTCCTTGACTTAAGAAGTGTAAGTCAAGGAGACAATCAGAGATGAATTTGTTGATTCAACTTCAAACTTTTTAATTTGACTGAGTTTTACATTTACAGTCCCTGTTTTTAGTACTGTTATCTTAACTACAATAGATAAATCAAAGACTCATTTTCACTAATTGCAGATTTTTATTTACAAAAAGAAGCAGTCAAACACAGTCAAACAAGATCTACTCTGCTTCTTTTCTTGCAATAAATTAAAGCAGAGGTGCCAGAATTGCAAGATTGGGGATCTTCCCCAAAATGAGGAGAGTCAACTGGGAATAATGGACAAGAGGTATTAATGGGAAAATTTTGTGAGAAAGACTATATTCTCAAATGGGAATTTGAAAAATATGTAACTTTTTATTGACGAGACTATATCTCGTCTCTAAAATCGCACTGCTGTCAACAGCTGCACACCTTAAAGGTATGAAGGGGTATATGTTGGGAGTAGCAATTTGGTACAGAGTATTTGATACCCAAATCATATACCATACATCTAAATGAATAAATCTAAATACAGTAATTGGTTTATCATTATTATAATATATACTTAAAGAAAAGAGAGGAAAATCTTATTACAATTTTAAAATGAAATAAATGAAAAAATAGTTCTTTGTTTAAAAAATTATTTATGTAGAATACTAAAATGTCTACACATATCTGTCTTATACAATTACCAGGAACCAAACAGTCTGGCTTCAGAGACAACTTTTTATGGGAGGCTACAACTCTGTAAATGTATCTAAGGAGTCAAAGTCCAATCATTACTTTATGTTTTATACATTACTTTTAGTTATTATTCTTTTGTTTTCAAGGACGTTTTATTATGTTTTTAAGGATGGAAAACCCAAAAACATCAACAATAAACTAATTCAAAATTAAAACATTCACTTGCACACAAGACTGATCCCAAACACCAAAATATATAAATAGGATAGTGTTGCATTATAGTTAAAAGATGTCACCTGTTCAACAGAGAGGAATAGCTCCAAAAAGTGACCTTGAGAGTGTGAAGGCCATCTACTTCAGACTGAATTGTCTGGCATTATTTTTGATGAAGCACTTAACTCGTAAGAGTTGTATTCTTTGTTTTTGAATCTAGTTGATACTTAAGATTTAATTAGTCGTATGTCTGTCTGGCAACTCTGGGCAAAAAGATATTGTCTGTACATATCGCATGATACTAGAGATGTTTGTAGTATTCAAATTATCATCATCAGTAAGATATTTAAGATCTGGATACTTTTTACTATTTGAGTACCAAATAGTAAAAAGTATCAAATAAGAAATATTTGGTTTATCCTCAAAAACATTGTTTTTGTAACTTCTCAGAAATATTAAAAGAAAATATTCTCAATATGCAATTTTATATACATACCATATATTTCTGCAGATATGACAACATATAAATATTTGTCAAAGTTTTATAGTTTTAGCATATATCTGTCCTATAAGACAACCCCCAATCTAACAATGGCTTATGAATTTAGTTTAGATCAACAATCATCATCTGAATAATAATACTGTATAGCGTATACGTTATTATGTCCTATTTGTTATTTTTCAAATGAACAAATTTTATTTTCTTGCATCCAGCAGCACTGCCTCGCGATTCTTGCAAGCATTTGCACTGATTCGGACATTCGTGTAATGACCTTGACTATTCACAAAATGTTGTATGGGCTATTCTATTTTGTGGACATACCCTACTCTTTACTAGTAAATAATTTATTTAATAATGGTTTTTTTAATAATGGTTTTAACTCAAAAATTTCAATCTAATCTTTTTGTTTCTGTCCTATAAGACAACCCCGAATTTCGAGAGCCTTTTTTTATGATTCAACTATCAGCTTATCTGCAGAAATATATGGTATATAAAATCACTATTATTCTAATTAGAAACAAACTAGCTCAATGACTCAATTCAAGCATGATGATAATTTCACTTTATACTAATTATTCATTTTATGCAAACAATCTAGCACAGTAAAAATTTAAATATAATTAGTTATGTTATCAAGTCCTTTACACCCAACATTATTCCATAAAATTATTACACAAAATAAGAACGCTAAACATTTTAATAGAGAAAATGTTTTCAAAACTACTACTATTAATATGTTGACTCCATAATTGATTTAGTGTCCTTATTTTATGTATGTTACAAAGGCTAATCAAGCTAATGAAATTTTACATTTCAAAATAGGAAATGCAAATAAAATTTTCACATTATTTTTAGAATTTAACAGATTTTACTGTCCTTTTCATTCACAGTATCTTATAATAAGAGGGTGAGTGTGTTTAATCAATTCTATTTAAAAACTTTTTGCCTCATAAGGTTTGCACATGGTAGTAGGTTTTAATAAAGAAGCAATCCAAAGGAAAACAATTTTTTATGAAATATACAAATACAAAAAATTAACTTTACCTTGCCATCAATAGGATTTCCCAAGGCATCTACAACTCTTCCTAAAATTTCTGCTCCTATTGGAACATCTACAATTGCTCCGGTTCTTTTTACAATATCACCTTCTTTAATAAGTTTATCGTTACCAAACACTACAATACCGACATTATCAGGTTCCAAATTCAAAGCCATTCCCTATAATTTGAAGAAAACAAAATCAAGAACCAAACCAAGGCACTAAATTATTACCACCGCTATTCTACTTAATAAACTAACCTTTAATCCACTCGAGAATTCAACCATCTCTTCAGCTTGAATATTCTTCAAGCCATAGACACGAGCAATCCCGTCACCGATAGACAGCACTCGTCCGGTTTCTTCCAACTCAGCAGTAGGAGCTTGGCCTAAAATTCTTTCCTCCAGGATGGAAGAAACTTCTGCAGAACCTATAATTTATAAATACTTTTTATTTACTAATATTTACAGTTTACAAATACAGTTGAACCTGTCTATCTTAAATTTTTTCCGCATTCTTGTGAAATTCAAGACACCAGGTCCAACTGTATTTAAAGTAAACACAAAAAGTAAAAATAAATTTTATCAGGATCAAATTACAGATCATACGCTGCACAATAGTGAGAGGCATCAAAAAATTATTTTATAAGAATATCAGATAATACACAATTATTATAAATCATAAAATTGGTTAAGACTAAATGTTGAAAAGTTTTTTATGATTCATTGGTTTCTGTAAGTTTAGTTCTATGCAGAAAGTTGTATTGCCCCAAGCAATTGCCACTTTTACTTGGGAGCAACAACTCATAAAAAGAATCATAGATAAAAGGTTGAATATTCTAAAGAAATCCAAAAGGAAAACCAAGTCTGTTAGCAGTATCTTTGATTTTTCTGGAATGAAGGATGAGAAATTTTATATTTTATATTTATATTTAGCTCTGGAAAATAAGAGAGGATGAACTAAAGCTTCTTATTAATGTGAAGTTTGGATTTGACAATTGGGCTAGTTCAAAATAGCCATAGTGTGTGTAATGAAAAATCATTTGTTTGATTGCCCCTCTACTTTATTTCAACAGCAACAGGATGAATACATAAGTTTAATCTCAAACTTAGTTATGCCATTTGGAATTAAAATAATTGAAACCAAGATGTGTACTCAATCTCAAAGATTTATCCAAAAATTCCAGGATCTTCTGATTTTTTAAGTTATTTATAAACATATTTTCTATCAACTGGATAATTAGACAACAACAAAAACAACTTTAAAATTCCAGCAAAGAAATTTACTAATAAAAACATTTTCAATCGGTTTAACCGATCTCCCTCAGTTACGATGAAACAGAATGTGAAAATAGAACATAAAATTTAAAAATTAACAATAACCAGAATTCTAAAATAAATACATAAATAAATAACTGAAATTATAGTTGCGAATAATAAATAAATAATTACAGAAATAAAATAAACAATAAAAAGTAAAAATAGACAAATAAATGAATCCAGCTTTCTTATGGAATACATAAGAAAGCTGCCAGAGCAAATAATCTCAAGGTTGTATATCGATGTAACCTGATGATATTCAGAATTTTAAGGAATGATAAAAAACTGTATAACCATAATTTGGCCACCAGGACATACTCCATCCTGTTAATCGACCAACATTTCAATTTCAAATCAAAACTGGTCTATGTGGGTCCACTATGCGTGACTTAACAACAATGGCTCAAAGAACATAAATATATAATTGATAAAAATCTTGATAACATGACGCTGGCAGCTTAGGCACATCATCAGGACATTCAGGTGCAATTGGAGCAGGCATCGATCATCAAACCAATATTGAATATAAATACAGTACTATGAGATATCTGGAAAGATTGAAAGATTTTTAAAGCGCGCAAAAAAACTGATTACATCAACCATATGAGAGCCACACACACCTTGGCTACCGTATGGCAGTCTTTTTATGAAAGTTAATTTTATCAAGGAACATTTATCTGTCTATTTTTACTTATTGTTTATTTTATTTCTGTCATAATTTATTTATTATTCATAACTATGATTTCAGTTATTTATTTATTTATTTATTTTAGAATTCTGGTTATCGTTTATTTTTAAATTTTATGTTATATTTTCACATTCTATTTCATCGTAACTGAGGAAGATTGAAAATGTTTTTATTAGTAAATTTCTTTACTGGATTTTTAAAGGTGTGCTTTTTTTTAATAATTTAGAATATTCTTATAAAAGTTGCTTCTAGCCCTTGGTATAATTATATTAATTAAATTATCAACAACTGTGAGACAGATAATAGTGAGGGCTTATCAGACCAAAGATGGGCACAGATGCTCAGGTATCAAAGTGAAAACGTTTAATAAACACAAAAATGATTACATAAATTTGGAAACAAAAGAACCCAAATGCATTTCAGACTATTTTCTGAAATCTCATCAAGTTCCCACATTCATTGTTCTTTTTCTATATGTTCGATACATTTTCTCCATCCTTCTTCAGTTATTTTTTCAATAGCTTTATTTATTAAAATTTGCACATCTGACAGTTTGAATGTGTTGTGATATGTGATGTAACTTTTCATATCTGCCAATATCAATTCAATAGGATTTAAATTTCAATGATACAGAGGTAAACATAACACATCAATACCTATTTCTTTGGCCATTTCATCAATAATATATTTATCGTATTTATGTTTTACTTTTTTAACAATATCCTAAAGTTCTATTTTCAAAATTTTGTCATTATGATGAACCCTATTTTTTTCTAACCAAAAACTTATGCCAGCTTTTTTCCAAGTACAATTTAGATCCTTCTCAATTTTAGCTGAGCGATATACATCATTGTCCATGACAACAAGAGCATTATTTTCTAATTTTGATGATAATTTTTCAAACCATTTTTTGAAATTATTGCTATCCATTTCTTCATGGTAATCTTTTGTCGACTTTGATTCAAATTCATATAGACCACCATTAAGAAAACCTGTACAGTAGTACCTCAGGATATGAAATTAATCTGTTCCGAAACTGAGATCGTATGATGAAAATGTTGTAAAGTGAGTCATTTTTCCCCATATGATTACATGTAAAACCAAATAATCCGTTCCAACATGAAAAACACACTCAAATTAAAGCTTAGCAGTATATTGAAAAAAAAAACTTTAGCAAGGAAAACACTGAAAAATGTGTTTTGTAGTTGTAAAGTATAAATAACCATAATAGAATAATAATTGATTTTAAAAATGTAGTTTTATTTGCACTTTACCCTTGAGGATAGACGATGGTGGAGGTGTAAACTGGGCAGAGGAGAGGGAAAAGGGAAAGGATACTAAAACTTAACTTACATAACATAATGTAACAATAACTTAACACTAATTTTTTTTTATCTTTCCTGTTTTGTATATATATTTTTAATTTTTTATTCACTGCTTTTTACTTTCTTTCCTTCACTTCCACCAGCACTTTCACTGGACAGAGGTTGCTTGGTAAAATAACTATCCAAAGAGGTTTTGCTTTGCCTACTTTTTAAAATGTTTCTAAAATGACTTTAGCAAATGTCATTACTCTGAGCAGCAATATGGCCAGTGTAAACCTTTTCGGGATGTTTCTTTTCAATAAAATCAGTCACTTTCTGATAATACCTCAAGATTTCCTTTATCGAGTGAGATCCTTCCACAACGAAGCAAACACGTGTACTGAGACAAATGAACAGAAGTGAATAAAAAATGGTGCTGCAAACTAACGTAGCATCGTATGGCAAGTTTTTGTTTGTACCATGGAGCAAAATTATGTTCAAATTTCATGTCGTATCCTGAGATACTACTGTATTACTGCCTATACGAACAAGAACTATTCATTTTCCCTTCCCAGAAGGATTTTTCAATCCAGATCATCCAGTTATGAAAGCTTCGCAATATGATGTAATTGAACAGTCCTTTCATACTTTATTCTTGGTATGGTCTGCATTAATCCATGTTTTGTCCAAATAGTAAATCTTACGGCCTAAAGAACGCATTTCTCTTATTTTTCGTAAATATTGTCTCTTTCAATTAATCTACTATTTCTGTTTCAGTTTGTATATTTAAAATTAAGTAATTTTAACAAATTATATATCAAGGATTGAGTAGTCTGGTAAATCTGGATCATCAACAGCCTGTAATACCTATCTACAGTAGGTAATTCATTTAAAAAAATGAAAATGGTGTACTTTACCTCTAATGGCACATTTTGTGAATTTATCTTACTTGTCAACAAGTTGAGTATGCTTACGGGTTTTCAAAGTAGTTATTACTTTACCATTAGTAAAATATTCTATACGAATTCTGTGAATGCTCCTTTCTGATATCCCTGTTGTCTTTGCTATCATTTTCACTCTATCCTTCACACAAACTTCCAAATTTGTTTCAGTTAAAGAATTAAACAAATTTAATACTATTTGTTTATCTGAGCTTCTCAGCAATTTTCCTTGTTGATGTTTAATAGTATTTACATTTAAGTTTTCCATTTTTGTAATTCGACAACACAGTTTAAATAACAATAGTTACTGTAATGAATGGAAAACTAACCAAAACATTATAGTATGCATGACAGGAAAAGGTTTATTTTTAATAATTCAGAAGATGCAAATATTCATTAAAGTAACAATTTAACAAATATGAAATAATTACATTTATACTCATTGCTAAGTGACCAGTACTCATATTTCATTAATGATTTTATAAATAACAAAAAACTATTTTCTGTGAATGAATGAGATGCAAGATAGTTTCTAATTGATGGACATGGGCTTAAATAAGGGTTGTCCAACCTATTTTTTCCCAATGAGCCAAATTAGAAATTTACATATATTCAGTGGGCCACAAAGGTACTTTATATAAATATATGCTTTTAAAAAGTTCAAAAATGTAAATATCAAATGTTAACAACAACAAACAGTATTTTTTGTAATTATATATATTATTGTCAGTCAAAACAAATTATATTCCCACAAAATAAAAATAAATTCAATGTGATTTTTGACATTGCCTTCCTTTTATAATATTGTCAGTATCTGCTTTTATGATACTAGTCGTAATTCTAAAAATGTTAGTTATATTGGAATCACTCAACTTATTTCTTTCAGAAGTTTTGATGTTTTTCACAAACAAAAGAATTGTTCACAACAGTATGTACTGTACAGTACAGTACTACTCCACATGCATAACAGTTTTCTAGAGCTAATTACATTATTACGACATCAAAGTATATCCAGTGAAATTTTTTAAGATATACTTTACCAAAATAAATGAAAATGCATCTAAAAAATGTGTAGGGTGCAATAGGCCATGGGCTGCAGTGCATAATTTGAAGTGAAAATTCTGTCTGAACTGTGATATGCATATGTTAACTCATTTAGATCAAAGTGCCTCTACGCTGTAAGACAGGTATCAAACTGGCGGTCTCCAATGTAATTTTTTGTGGCCAGTGGCCGCAATGCTCTGAAATTAAACAGCTTACAGATCAAGATTAACTGATAAACATCTATCTGCCATACTGAAAATTGTTCTCAGTCTTTGAATCTAGATAATGAAAAACTAGGAGAAAAAAAATTAGTGCTGGTAATTTTCCGGTGAAAACAATTTTAGTTTTATAAATATGTACATTAAATAAAATAAATATTTAAATAAAAGCAATACTACAGCAATTATATATTGTTGAGTTGAATTCACTGAACTACATAATGTGTTTAAATTGCCCTATCTATATTCCTGCATTCTCATTTGAATTTTAATTTTAAAAAAATTTGTACAAGTGATGTGGCCCACGTAAATCTTACCAGTCGCATTAATGGTCTGTTGTTTAAATGAGTTTGACACATCTGCTGTAAGAGAACAATAGATCAAGAACAACTAATATGGTCAACATGACTTGCTTTTACAGTAACACATTTTCTGGTGTCACTTTACATATGCACTATGCCTTTCTTCTCTTACTGCATAAAATATGGCTGGGTTTCAGGATTCCAAGATTGGGCTACAAGTAGCAGATTAAAATATTTGTAGGGCTTCTACTATTGGGTGACTTGCTACTTTTTGGGCCACTTTTAACATAATTTTTGCTAAATTTTGGGGTATCCTGCTTTTCTTTTTTTAAACCTATCTTGCGACATGTGAGGTTCTCACCAAACATGCTGTTTACCTGTATTTACTTATTATTAACTAATGAAAATAGCATTCTGTATACATAGCCATATTCTGTTTGCTTAATAAATTACATTAGTACATGGCATTTGACATAATACACAGAAATATATAATCTCAGATAATTCAAAGTCACAAACATCTCGACCCACAAATTTCAAACTAATGAGAATTTCCTGTAACAATCTTTCCAATTTAAATACTAAAGTCTATACTTTTCTGCTTTATTGGATATATATATATATAGACTAACTTCTTTAACTCAGCAGTTTTGGCTCTTTCAGTCCATAAAGGGTAAAAATTATTGAAATAGTTTAATACTGTAGGAGTATATCCTTCATTTCTTAAAAAAGTATTTATAAAGAACATCAAGAAATATAATCAAATCAATCCTCCAACATTTACAGATTCCTTTCTTGATGTCTTAATTTACTGAAACTTCTTAAATCAGTTTAATCAAAAATAATTTCTAAACTGAATTTTTGTGAGACACACATCAGATAATAACTGACTCAAGTTTTCCAATGATTTTAACAAGCAATGAGTGAACAAGTTTAGTCAAAAGAAATAAATCAAATATTTTTATAGTAGTTCAGATTTAAGTTCAAAATGGATTTTAGCCTGGCTGTTCATAATTATAGAATTTCTTACTTTATAGTTAATTAATATATTAATTTTTGACATGATTAAAAAGTTCTGAATTACAATATTACATGTATATTATATTGATAACATTTATAGACTAATTTTTTAACATTTGAAACATAGTTTAATAACACTATCTGTTTTAAACTCTTTATGGCTGGTAACATCATATGAAAGACAAGTTACTCATATCAACTACAGTCAGAAAGTAATGTCCCCCTTTTTTTTGTTAAATAAGTTTGCAATGTGAGCAATTTGAATTTTATGCAATTCCACCAACTTTCATCTGCAGTTCTTTGCAATAACAGCTTTGTAAGTAAACAAGTGACAGCACTGCATCATTTTACAAAATGGCTGATATTGATGTGTGTGTAAGACAGCAATCTGTAATAGAATTCCAGATTGTGAAAAGTATAACACCAACTTGCATTCATGAAAGGCTGAAGAAACATTCTTCAGCCTTTATGTTTATGAGGATGCAACAGTGACTATCAGCACTGTTAGATGCAGGGTTTGCTCTTCAGCTTTTGTACAATGACAAACCACCTTGGCTGATGAAAACTGGAACAGCTGGCTGGCCACTGCAGTGACTCCAAAGAACAAGCAAGTAGTTGATGAGATCTATATTGCTGACTACAGGTAACAACCAACAAATTGTGCCACATGCTTTCCATCAGTACAGACAGTGTGAAGGGCATTATTGACAAAATGGGCTACTCAAAGGTCTGTACTGTAAATGATGATTAACCAAAATGAGAGAGAATAAAGAAACAAAGAAAACAATAGCCACTAACCTGTTGCATTGCTTCAATATGGAAGGGGATAAGACTTACTTCATTTTTTTGAACCTAAATTCAAGAGGCAGTTGATGGAATGTCATCACAAATCACAAAGGAAGAAAAAATTCAAAAGTGTGTGATTTGCAGGAAAAGTTATGGCAACAGTGCTTTGTAACATTTCTTTTTTATTGTAGTCCAAAAAAGCCATATTTTTTGGACCACAAGTGCACAATAAATTCTGTTCAATACATCAAGACCCCCAAACAATAAAACATGTCTTTAGAGAATTTGCCCAACAAAAGCTCAGGTGGATGTAGTTCTTTTGTACTACAATGCAAGACCACATGCCAGTGCACAAACTACTAATTAGGTTGCAAATATTAGATGGGAAGTCTTGCCTCATCCATTGTACAGTCTTGACCCATCACACTACCATCTGTTTGGGCCACTACAAGAAGCTCATTGTGGACATCACTTTGAAGATGAAGAGTTTCTGAAAAATTTCATAAGACAATGGCTGAGAAAGACAGTAATTTTTACCATGCAAGAATATTTTTAAAAATTTTAAGGATATTCTTGCAATGATTTTTGTCCATATTTTTACAGGGACATCACTGAATGTCCTTGTAAAAATATGGACAAAAACCATTGAAAAGGATAGCGATTACAGTGGGTGATCGGTTAATGATCAGATTGGATAACGAACACTTTCATGAAAGATTCTTATGTTCGGACAACGAACATTCCACAGAACAAACACAAGAAGAAGCAACATAAACTAATGAATACCGATTGGTCTTCCATTGTCTTCGGGCAACAATTCAAAACTTTTTGGAGTGCAGGAGACGTCGACATCGACGCTCAAGCCAGTATATACCGATCAGATAGTATTCCTCCAAACTTTGAAACTCTCCCTTGTAATTCCAGCCTTTTATTTTTCTGACAAAACAATTCTTTTACATATTTGCATGACTGTTGGGTAGGCACTCGTTAAGTTTTGCATCTGTTTCTCTTTTCGAAAGGTGAGAGTGGGCAGAAGATGCCTAATGTTGCTAGGCAGTATGGCATGAACAGGTCTACAGTAGGCCGCAGTTCAACCATATTTAAGAAAACTACTGTATAATCAAAAAGACTCAAGCAGCTAAAGGAGTAACAAAAATCACATCTGAGAAATAAAGAACATCAAACAGTTCATAATGGAACTTGAGACAGATCTGATGACAGAAAAAGGCCAAGAACTCTTGAGATATGTTTTCTTCTGAAAAAGAGGATTAATGCCGATATGTGTTATTAAAGATCCTTTGAAGAAGTGGGATGATGTCAGAACAACAGTCTTAGAATGGCATCCAAACCAGGTTGAGGCTTGGGGATTTCTACAATTTCAATGCTATTAATTACTTATGAAAAATCCTGAAGAAGAGAGAAAAGCAATCGACATTAAATAGATTCTTTAATGCTTTCAAATGGAAAAAACATGACCAATAAAAATGCAAGACCGTGTATGTATGTATTTTTATTACTACATATAAATATAAACAACCCAAAGCGTGCTCAGCAGAAAATAATAAACTATAACTAAATCAACACCTGTTCACTCGCTGAGAGATTTATTCTTAACACAAACGTTTTCAATCCAATCAATGGATCATCGTCAGGTAAATTAGAACATTTCAAAAAATAGAACAACAAGTTCAAAATACAAANGTACAGTAGAGCATCGATTATCCGACTCAATTGGGGACTGGGGTTGGTCGGATAACTGAAAAAACAGATAACCGAAAAATATGAAAAAATACATTATTAGTATGGTATATTAACATATCTCATGTAATTAGTATATTGCTATTAACCTACTTCGCGTTGAATTTTCATCGATGTTAAGCCTAACAAAAATTTTTTTAAAATAATAATCGTCGCTATTGTATCGTTAAAAATTAGAAAATTAAGCCTCGTTTAAATACTGGCTCCCTTTCATGATCGAGCCAGTGTTGCCAGCTAACATGTAAAGTACTATTAAAGTAGCCAAGACATAGCCAAATATTGTAGCGCCACATCACTAGCGGACATTTGAATTTGCTGACTAGAACGGTAAGTTAACCGATGTGACGGTTAATCAATGCTCTACTGTATATATTTTTTATTTTTTGAGGGTCTCCAGAATGAATTAATTAAATTCCCATTAAAACCTATGATAAATCGATAATCGGTTAACGAAAAATTTGGATAGCAAATTATGTTCGTTTATGTTCGGATTATGTTCGTTAACCAATCATCCACTATATACTGAAAAGTGAAAACTTAATTGTGAAAGTTACGGTTACAGTAAATTTCACTTAGTTTTCTTGTAAAATAAGAGACACAAAATAGGAGGCATTACTTTCTGACCGACCCTCATATATATCATCCATAACAAAATCAATCCAATTTGTCCAGAAAGAGAGATCACACATGCTAGAACAAAATATATTAAGAATATTAATAGGAATAAAACTCACCTGGACCCGCAGCAGCATATTTTGTAGTTGAGAAATTTCTCGTTCCAACTGAAGCGCATGGTAAAAATTTAGGTGGTATCTAAAAATTAACATTTAGAAATAAATATTCATAAATTTATATATTTTTAGATAATAAATTAAATCAGTTAAAAATATATTCATTCAATAAAATAAATTTATAAAAAACTTGATTTTAAAATAAATTAACAATAAATAAATTGAAATAAATGTAACATTTGACATTATTATTATACAAGCAGGAACCGTAGAACAGTATTTTCTGAACAATAATTAGAACGTAAGATATTTCATGTCCTAATTATTTAAAAACATGTTTAAACTTTAGAAAACTTGTGTTCTGAGCATTCCAGTTTGGAATATAATGTTGACTTGATGCAGATCTTGTTTAAGATCAAAAACTTTCATTAACTTTTACATTAAATATTTGTTATACTGGATATTAAAGGTTCTGTTGATTGTGTTAATGTAATTCATTCCAGTAATTAAGAAGAAAGTAATTTGGAGACAGTTTTTCTGAATAATAGCTACTAAGAACATTTCCTAAAAATGAAACAATCATCAGCACAATAGGCACAAATTACATAATTCTTATTATGGTTTAATCATGTCACAAGTTTATACGTTTATTAATGATGCAACGAATATGCGGTTACTATTTGGTATTCGGCTAAATACTGAATACCTAAAAACAGGAGTAAGAAATAACAAAAACACAGTAAATTAATCATTTTGGTAACTTTTATTACTGCTGAACATACATTTCAAGTTCAAGAGAGCACAATTTTTTCTTATTTATGTAAAAGATCAAAGGAAAAGTAATACAGTAAAGCGTCGATTATCCGAAAGAATTCCAGTCGGCAAATTTAAATTTTCGCCAGTGCTGTGGCGCTGCAATCTTTGGCTATGTCTTGGGCTACTCAAATATTTTACGTTTTTGATACTAAATTAACTTCTGAAATATAATTTTTTATTGTTTTTATATTTTTCAATATATTTATTTTGTTCGTACAAAATAAAAAAATAATTTTTAACGATACAATAGTCTTCGTTAGGCTTAACATCGACGAAAATTCAACGCAAAGCAACACGCAACAGAGAAAAATGTCAAGATGGGATAAATTAATAATTTTTTCGTACATAATCGGTTATCTGAAACATCGATCTTCCGAACAACCCCAGTCCCCAATTGATTCGGATAATCAACGCTCTACTGTATAACTAAGTTATTTTTTAAGAGATCAAAAGAGGTAACAAATCAAATGAAACTATCTAATTATTATGTTGTTTAGTCATCTATATACTTATATATATAAGAACAAGTCCTGATAGGATAATTAACACATAGCCAAAACTACTGGTGCTAGAAACTTAGAAATTTGAGGGTGTGTTCCTTTTGTGAAGTTTAGGCATGCTAAAAAAAGATTTTACGAAATTCAACCCTAAAAGGAGAAAAAGGGTAAAAAGTTTGTATGAAAATTTTTACTGTGTGAGCACATTTAATCGAACCTTAGGTCATAAAATGTGAAAAAATTAATAATTAATGATTTGTAATGTATTTTTATGAAATCGTCCCTTATTATAAACTTGAAAATTAAATTAATTTTTTTGTTTCATTGTACAAAATTATTTATCATAACTGAAGTTCCAGACAGCTTGGTAGCCTGAATGGTCCCAGGCTTTTGCCCATGTATGCTAAGTAATTTTCATTACAAGCATTTAGCTTTCTGAAGTCTATGAGAACAATTATTTGGCATTGACGGCTCTGAATTTTGCACCAATAAGCTGCCTCAACTTGTTCAATTATGTTATGAACTCAATTTCATATTTATTTTCACATTTTCACTTCACGGTCCTTCTCTGTTCTTTTTCCATTATTTACACATGTAGGTCATTTCATTATTAGCCACATTTGATATCATCACTTATCACATACTGCCATGACACTCATGTCTGTCTGCTACAATTGCCAAGAATTAAAGCAATTGGCAAAGCAGTGACAGTGGGTCAATAGAGAGCAGGATGTGCAATCCTTGCCATAATGCAATTTGCATGCCAATTTTCATACTTACATTAATCAAGCCGAATAGTTTGGCTGAATATTCAGCTATTCAATCACGCTCCTGGCCAAATATTCAGTATTCGTCAAATATACTATTTGTTGCATCACTAATATATATATATATATATATATATAAATAAACTTGTACACACACCTACCTTCTGTTTTAGTGTGCTTTTTATATTAAAAAGTTCTCTGGAATAATAGTTACACGTTTTATAAAATGTTATATTTTATGCTTCTTAAAGGAAACAAACGAAGAAATTATTTTCAACAGTACTTCCATGACATATATACACTACATAGTTAATATATTTGGAATGTATATTATACAAGACCTCTCACACATAGCAGAATGGGAGAAAAATTATTACAACAATGAGATATGAACAAACTTAGAATATGATCCATTCATATTTCAAGATGTTTTTTTCATTACATCAAATAGTTCACTAAAGCATTTTTTCTCAACTGGTGCTCCATGAAGATTTGAACAGTACTTTTCATTCAATCAAGTTACTTATTAAAAAATTTATTTGGTTTCATAAATTTTATGTTTATGCCTTTCATTAACACACACATACCTACTTCTATACATACATAATCTTGCACTTAATAATTTATATACACTTAGAGCTTAATAACGGAAGAACCACCAATGTTCTGGCATTCTCAAGAAATTGAAAAACAGCATTGAAGTGTGAGATTGTCCATCCTCATCAGTCATTGTAAGATTCAAGTCATCCACAAGCACAAATTGAATATGCAGTACTTTATTTGTATTTTACTTTGCAATTCCATATTATTAATACTGCTTGCAGGCAAAATTTACTAAAATATTGAATGCGTATTCCGTCATGTGACTTGTTTGAAAGTGCTAGAACATAATAGTCAGCATCACTCAATATTATAACACAATAATAATTCAATATTTTGCAATATTGAATGCTTTTTGATCAATATCTAGCTCCTCCTATTAAACTTCAAAAAACCCGAGTCACATACTCCCTAAGATGAAAACTCATGCTGAAAATTTTGTTTACTACCATAAATTTTTTCCTACAAAATAACTGGTCTATGATGAAGCTATAGAACATGAAAAGCTGTAATGTTATATCTTTGTTATTAATTTGAACAGTTAGAGCCTGTGCAAAACAAACTTATATGCTAACAGAAACTACAGTTAAAATGATTGTTGTTTGATATTAAGTTCTTGTCAAAATGAAATACATTACAATTAGCAAATTTTATTAAGTAATCACAAATGTGTCATATCTTACAAAAATTGTAGATTTAAATATCTTTTCGTTCCTATATCTGCCAGAGAAAAAGTACATGCCATTTTTCAAATTAAAATAAATCTCATAACTAGAGTGAATGTCACCAGGAAAGAATTGCCTACATTTGATAAAAAATTTTTCAGTAGGTAAAATCAAATGGATGAAGTCTTTACAGTCATTATGATTATTGAGAGTAATATCTTAATAATTATATTTTAAAAAAATACTTATCAAACACTTAAGTATTTTATTAAATATATATAAGAAGTTTTTTGGATACAAAACAATAACTTATATTTAATCATTTGCAAAACATTATTCAGTTATTGTAAATTTTACAAATGAAACAATTAGTTGTCATGTCTTTCCACCATCTTCCAGAAGTTTAGTAATAAATTAATTAACCATGCGCTTAATTGTATGATAAGTTTAATTAAACTGTTTTTTACTTCAGTGCATTCCTTATTGCATTTGTTAGATCTGATATTGTCATATTGCTGATCCATACACAACTTTAACCATTATCATCTAAATGGATTATGGATTTGGTTTATTGGGTTCTGATCTGGACTTAGTGCTGGTCAGCCTAATAGTTTAACATTTTTACTTTTATCTTTAGATGATAGATAGCGGTATAAATGAATTATCCTGTTATTACAACTAATCTTTACCTATAATACTTTCTCCAACCAGTAGTAATACTTTCACTATTAAATTTATGTCATCTTTTGAATTGTGAACTCCAAGTTTCAATTCATCAGAGAATATAACTGTCCCAATTAGTGTGATTTATAATGTATTATTGAGAAAAATCATGATCATCAGTGAAGTGATATGGCTTCCAAGCGAGTTGGTTCATTCCTCTCATATACAACCGTGATCAAAAAGTATTGGGAATGATTCAATAGTATGCAAGATTTGAATTTATCTGTACATTAAATTATTATTGAGCACCAAATCTGACTTGAGTGTTCTGTTGTTCATCAGTTGAAGTGGATGGTTTACTAGAGCATGGTTCATCTTCATTGTGTTTTATGCCTTCCTCAAACTTCTTATACTACTTTTGCAAAATACACTTATTTTTGATAAATTGTCATCAGATGCTTTTTGCAACATTTCAAACATTTTTACAGCAGTAATTCCATTGTGAAAACAAAATTTAACGAAAGGTCTTTGCTCATAAGAATCAAGGATTTCTGTAACTGTTTATACTTAATCCTAGATGAGAATGATCTTTTAACTTTGTCTCACAAGCCCAAGCAATGTTTTGTTTTTTTTCTTTTGCAGTTACATTATAAATACTTGGATCAATAAGACCATTGTTTTTATCACCCTCTCAAAAACCCAAGCAATAGCTCGCACACACAGCCAGTATATAAATAATAACTAAAATTAAGAAGAAACTAATTTGGATGATGTGAATTTTTAGTAATATTGAAATTTGCCTAAAGTGGCAATTTCTATGTTATTTAAATATTTTTTTTTATAATCTTATACTTATTAAATTCACATAATAGTATTTTCAGACACAAGTACAGTACAATCCATTTCTCTACATAATTATTAGTCAAGGTATTTACAACATTTCCAGATAAGATTCTTGTCAGCTATAACAATCAGAACTTTGTTGCTTCAGTTGTAACAAAATCTCTAATTTCAAGATACTCTGATTTAAATACATTTTTTCAATTTTGGAAGAAAAGGGAATAATAATGGTATTGAACCCAGGCAAAAGTTCCTCCCATTTTTAGTACTAGAGGGCAGTGCACCGCAAAACCAAAGCATCATCTATTCCACACGCGCAAAGTTTTGACATTCGACAGAAGGGATTTTGGCGAGTACTCGGAAAAAAGTTGCATTACTCGGTCGTCATTTGTAAATTTCGTTAAGCATTAATTAACCACTCTGCAGCGATCGACGGATATACCCGTCAAGGGCAATCACGTGGCGCCGGAGAATGTCGTCTATATCTGCCAAAAAATTTTAGCCAAAAGTTACTGTGAAAAGAAATTCACATAAAAAGGAAATACGTAACAATAAAGAAGGATTTTTTTCTTCAGTAGACATAACTGTTAAAAAAAAATTTTTTTTCCTGAAATAGAAACAAGACAAACGCGTGGGAAAATTTTTTAAAAATGTCCCACATTTATTCTCCACTACATCACAATAGCACCATATCTGACTAACCCTCCATACAAAGGTTAATGGCAAAAAATAAGGAACATTTTAGACACGCTTCTTTTATTTCCGAAAAGGCAAAAATGCTCCACAGAGGCAAGACAGGTACCACATACGACGAGGGTACCTTCGACGACTGCAAGCGGCGTAAGTGGTTTGGAAAGTTTAGCTTGTAAAAAAAAAAAAAAAGGACAAACTTTCACATCATCCAAATGCATATATTATTTAGTATATTCAAATAATAAATGTTACATTTCAAACAGATTGTTCTACTTCGAGAAATTTCAATTCGAAAACATCCCCAGAGGTCACTTACTCTACAAGAAATGTTCTCAAACTTTGCAGTTCATTACCACATCTAGCAGTTCCGAAAGCCACTTCCGAAACAAACGAGCCGGAAGCCACTTTTTTGGTATTTTTCCATTAATTCTGAAATTTTTTCTTAAAAACATACCAACACTTATGGTATGTTTTTAAGCAAAATTATTTTTATATTGTTATCTCTCTCTATCCATAAATTGCAGGTGTAACACAGGTTTTGCACTAGTTTTCCTGCAAAAACAAAAAACAAATAAACTTAAGATTCAGCTTTCTCACCACTCCATTACCATTTTACAGATGCATTTCCTGAACTCAGATAATAATAGAGCTAAATTCTCTACAAACCTATATTAAAATCAATATATTACTAATTAAAAAACTTAAAGCTCTACTTAATAAGCTTGTATAAAGTATAAAATATAAACCGTATAAAGCTGTTAAAGGCAAGAGATACGAGAAATGTTATTAATAACTTCAGCATCGAAAATAAATATGTCGATTCAAATATTTTGTTAATTTTTCCCCTTTAAGACACACGATAAGTATCGTAAATAGCCAATTTACCTTCGGAACGTTTTTGGGTAATTGTTTTATAACGAAACTGGCTAATCGAGCCGAGAACAGAGACATTTTGCAGATTTTCTCCGGCCTCCCCGTGCAAACAAGATGTCGACCTTTTCGTCCCCGATAACTCTCGCACGCCGACTCTCTTCTAATTTTATCCTTTATTTTTATACCAAAGTGGACGTACGTTATTATTTATCGTTATAATTGTAATATTAAAATATTATATTAGCGGAATTTATTTGTTTATTTAACGAAAAGATTATAATTTAGTGGTCGAGAGTAGATGCCACCCGGCCAAAAGGCGTGATCTATTTATAATAATTTTACGGCATATTTTATATCGATTGGATTAAATAAATTAGAACTGAATTTATCGATTTATTATCGGTAAATTAATTCTCGGCAGGATAAAGTTTAATTCGGATTATTAGATTAATTTATTATAAATTTAATAAAGCCAAATAAAACGTTTAAGTGTTGCCAGTTATATTTTCTTTGTTTTTTTTGTTTATTTAAGTGAATTAACTTGTATATGAATTTAAATGACTCGAAATTCGAATTATAAAATATTTATAAAATTTAACTTGTTAACGGTCATTAATTCATTATTATCTTTAATTTTTTGCCTAAATAGTAAATGCGTATTTTTTGCTGGACCCGAACTCGTCCTTTGTCCGACTGGTATGGAACGGTATATATATTTCTTTACACTGTGGATGGAGCAGTTTATCCGTCATAGACGTAGCAAACGACCGGTTTAGTGCTCAGAGGAAGCAAGAATTTAAACTAAACATATATGGTGTATTGAAAAATTGTACATTTAGTATATTTATCTTGGACTTTATCCATGACCTTCCTGACTCCGAATCTGATATTTAATTACTGGCTTTGCGATCGGGTCGAATTAAAAAAACAATTAAAGCTACCACCGATCATAAATCATCGGATAGAGCAGGGGTGTCCGACTTTTTTGTTTCTCTGGGCCTCATTGGAAGAAGTCAAGGAGTTATGGGCCACAAGTATATATAGTGTAATATATATACTTATAATATACTTGTGGCCCAATATACAAGTATATTTAAAAATTAACATGTCTAGATTATAATAATAAGTATTAAAACTTTATCAAGAAAAAAGGATATTTTAAAAAATTACTTCTACAGACACTTTCAATTTTTACTTAGAAATAGATAAATTCATTTATTATAAAAGAGACTAAAGAAAATTTATTTGAAAAACACAAATATTTGTTTTATTTGGGTCTCTAATTAATAAAAAGCGACGAAACACCATTTTAAAGTGCATTTTTATTCAATTAATATAATTATAAATAATATGTAGCCGAAAAAGTAGCCAAAGCGCCAAATGATATTTTTTACGTCAAACAAAAAAAAGTAGCCACATTTGGCCCAATGTAGCCAAATCTTGCAACGTTGGAAGAAATACTAAATAAAGCTGGAGTTGTGAATCAAAGGATTATAGACCCAAGTGCGGGGAAAAAGAGGCAAAGGACAAAAGATAAAGAAGTGAAAAAGGTTGAAAAATTACGGGTCCATATTTGCTTAACAGAAGATCTATTTAACGTTTCTCACTACTACATCTTTTGTCCTTTCTCATCTTTCCCTCCTTTTCCCAAATTTGGGTCTATAATCCTTTGAGTCACAACTCCAGCTTTATTTAGTAATCCTTCCGCATTCACACATCTCCAAGTATTTGAAAATATTTTCTTTCCACTCAAAAATAAAATATGAATAAAGGTTTACGGCTTTGTGAAACTTTTTTTTTGAGTTTATGCCGTTGAAATAAATAAATAATAAAAAATTAAAACATTTGTCGGTTTTGTTTACACGTTTATTGGGCCGCATTGGAACTTGCCTTGGGCCGCATGCGGCCCGCGGGCCGCGGGTTGGACACTTTTGGGATAGAGTATTGTCTATTGCTGCCATAGATCCGAATTCGAATCCATCGGGAATATTGTGTAATTTATTTCGATTAATTAAGAAGGCAAAGACGATCGAGTCCACTCGTAATAGTCATAATTGATGGGGTTACGGACCACTTTTGATAAAATAAAACAATTATCTACTCTTTAATTATTTCAAAAAGTACTCGTACTAAAATCATATAAAATATTTTAAGTTTGTGCCTAAAATTATGAGAAATATCTTAATTTAAGGTAAGAAATAAAGTTCGCATTTAGAAAAGAAGTCTGATTTAACGAGTTTGAAAAAGTAATTTATTTCGAATTCTTAACATATTTAGAAAATGATTCGTTAAATTTTGCTAATATATTTTTTAAAAAGTTAAATTTATCAATTTCGCTTTTAAATATTTCGAAAAGTTACTCGCAGTTCCTGTTTATTTGTCTTCTGAGCAGTCTCCTTCTTGGCTGTTTCATTGGATGTTCCACCAAAAGCGTATTGCAAAGTAAACTTGCTGGCGATTTCATTTGCCAGATTTTCCGAATTGCGCCTGTTCGTCTCGTTTATTTCTTCCTCCAACTGCTCGATGCTTTTCATGACGTTTCGAATGGAACGAGTATCTTTATCTTTAGTGACGGAGATACTCTTTTCTTCTTCTTTCCGCTCGTCGACCATTCCTTTCGCATCCAAATAGACTTTGTCGTTTTCCGACACCAGACCTACGGCCGTCATCTGCAGTTTGGCCAAGAAATATTCTTTGGACTTTTCCACGTATCTCGGGATAACGCTTACGCTGGGTTTTTCTTCGTTTTTTTGCAGAGTTTCCAGTTCCAAATTGATCTCGCGCACCATATCGCTACTGTTTACTCTACCGTCGAGTCTTTCGGACGAAGCGCGAAACGTAACTTTCGTTGTTATCTTATTTTCGTCCTCTACGAGATTTTGCTCCATATTTTCGGAAATTTCTTTCTGTTCCTCGAAAGATGGCGTATTTTTTGTAGTAACCGCGGCCATATCGGAAGTATCCGTAAGTACTTCTTTTTCTTTATCGACAGACAAAGGAATTTGGTACGTCGGAACTTGGGAATTTTCTTCGTCTACTTCGTCTTGTATATCGACCAGTTTCTTAAATTCGGATTTTTGTTTACGCAGGACAATTTTTTGAATACTTTCTTGTAATGATTTATCGTCAGATTTTGTTACTTTTACGAAGTGTATCGATTCTTCGTCAGTTTCTTTACTAAGAAATTGTTTTTTAGTTTCCGAAACGAACGAACTCTCGATTGGATTACAATCCAGATATGTGGAACTCCTGTCGGTAGAAGAAGAAGTTGAAGAAAGAGTATTATTTTCTTTAACTTCGACCTCGATCTCCGACGATTCCGCTTTCCGTTCAGAAATCTCATTTTTCTCAAAGTTACGAAGGAGGCGATGGTGGTTAGATTCCAACTGATTAATTTTGGATTTCAAATAATACAGGAAACCTCCGATCAGTACTTCGACCAAACATTTGATGGCGGAAATGACGCATAAGGTCAAAGTGGATCCTCCCGAAATCTCGTCAAACATATTCTTTATTGTTTTTTTAAGTTTTTCTTTCTTCTAATGACACGGCAATAATGATGACAACAATGAAGATTTTATTGTTGAATAATAAAGGAATAAATGTTCTCGAAAACAAAACAGAATATTGAATACCATAACGTAGATTTTTTCCATAATTATGGAAATATGTCCCGTTATTGCGTAATTTTTTCTGTAAAACTACTGCTTATCAGATTATGCGAAAGAGAAAGACGTGATTAAATCATATTCGAAATAATTGCAAACTTATTAGTTTGCATTTTGTAGTATGATTTTCAGAATGAAACATATATTTTGAAATCATACGATTAATTTGGATTACTTAATTTGAAATCTTACGCTAATCTGTACTTTAAATGTAGTTAAATCTAAATGAATCTAGGCGACTTTGAAAGATATTTCTAAAATGAAAGACTGAGTTAAACTGAAGCGAATTAAAATTTCAGTCGAGTGGCTAATTTTAAAAATTAAAATTACGAATTCAATAAATGTAATTTAAAAGCTATTAACGATTCTTTATCGTTATTACTTTATGTCAGAAATATAAATTTTATAGAAATAAACAGACTTTGCTGAATTTTAATCGAGTGTTCATTTTTTAATTACGTTCAAACGATGTTTTGCGAGTAATTAAATTGATCTTTGATAAACAAAATTCGAGAATAAATTACGACCCGCAGCAGTCATATGTATTTCATTTTTATTATTTGTTTTCGCTTCTAATTAAAACTTTTCTTCTTTATAAGTTACTTAAATTACACGTAGGCTATTTATATATTTCTATAAATAAAGAAATTTGTATAAAAGCTGTATAAAATCGGATACAATTTATACAGGTGTAAACACTGGTAATCGTATCATCGTTCTTGAAAATTTTTAAATTAATTGTATTAATTAAAATATATTACGTAACTAAAACATAAATGATTTTAAGGTCTGACATTATTTTTAAACAAATAGATTATATAGAAGTAATGTAAATATTACATTTCAATTTCATTCATTCTCGATTTATCTATTTTTCTTTGACGTTGTGTCATTTGTATATCGAAATCACGTTACTCGACAGAACAAATACAGCTTTAGTAGTAATCGCTCTTCCTCTACTTGAGATTACAAAATAGTTTTACCGTTATTCTTCCAAGTTAAAAATATTCCGGGCCCTTTCTTCGATGCCCGCCCCCATTGCGGGCATGGTCTAACTGACGACCACGCCCGCACTATAGAAAAAATGGCCATCTTAGTTTTATTGTCCATTGGGCGGAGAGTAAAAAAAAGAAACAAACAAACCGGCGCGTTTTTGGTCAGGGTATGTCCAAAGAGCTGCTGCGGCATTCCATCGATATCGAGGCTCTCAGTTTTGTGACTTTAAAATAAAAATAAATATAATAACGCAACTTTAATTAGATAAGATTAGATAACTTTTTCTCCCCGTGGTATCTATAAATCCGCCTGGAGTAGCACCCATATTCTCAAACTTTCGAATACCCACCGGTTCTAGTTATTATAAAATAGTTAGCGTAATTCATTACCAAAATAAACAAATTTCCCTTTGGTGTAAATGTCCGAAATGTCAAGGTAACGGTAAGAAAAGATCCGTAAATCACGATATTCCTTTTCGGTTGCAGACGAATCTTTGCAAGACTCGTCAGTCGCTTATTGGTGGAGGACGACGCTTTCGATTGGATTTGACGTTGTATTGCATCGTTAATCGAGAAAATAAATGTACCATTTTCTGAACCGATTTCGGGTTACGGACATGGACAGACCGGCAAATTTCATTGGTAAAAGTTCTTTTTATTTGTACAAAGAATTCGTTTTTATATTTTCACATAATAATATAAAATTTCGACATTCTACCGATAAAAAATGTTTGTTTTTTATAAATATAGTATATTTAGACGCTTTTTACAACCAGTTGATTTTTACTTTTAATATAGATTAAGGTTTACATTTATTTTGAAATACTTTTAAAAAATCAACACCTATCGAAATTCATTCTCTTCGTTGTGACAACAAATAACACAAAATAACCCTCCGTGATTTGGTTTCTTGAAATGTTTCAATCTTACTGACAAATTTTATTTCAAATTTTACTTAATACATTAAGTATACATTTAAAAATATGTAAAATCGTTAACATCGAGTAAATTTGTTTTGCAAATTTTATATAGATTCCTCTTTTATTCGTTGATAAAGTCTCGAGTCTCACCAATACGGTGTATAGTACCTTTTTCTATTTAGCGACGTGGGAATCTTCGAAAGATCTATACGTTATTGGTGAAACTTCAGCATCCATTGCGAAAATAGTTATATTTGATACGATACAATGATTGCAAATTAGATTTATTTTATCGTAAGTCTTTTGGAAAGAATACTCTTCATAATAAATGCGAATATAATTTTTTATTATTAATTTATGTAAAAAGTAAAGACTTTAAAAACTTATTTTAATAATTTAGATCTTATGTAATTTAATTTCATAAATTTTAATAGTATAGAGATTTAAATCTTAGAGTTACTCGCTGGAATCGGAAATTCACGATAGCCTTTCCGTTTAGGAATCGAAAGAAATAAATGAAACGAATGGAATTAATTAATTTTCTTAGTATACATCACGAAACAATAATAAAAGAATAAAGAAATTCGGGTTGAAAATTCGAAATCAATATATTGATAACAAATTACCGGATATACTTTATAATGTCATCGAGACGATCTGTTTTAAGAACGTTGTATTACCGGCGCGTTATATAAAAAGAAATACTGCAAATACTGTGTATTTTCATTCCGAATACAAATAACAAGAGTTAAATAAATAGAATAATGGCGTGTCGAGTGGCACGCAAATACTCTCGCGTGCAATATTTTGAACGTACAAGTTTACAATTCCTGTTGAAGAAAAAAATACTTTCCTATCAACTTTTTTCATCTATTATTAACTGAAAGCAATATTTTGTCTACATTTATTTATTTATTTCGCAGGAGCCAAAATGAATTTTCGGCTTGTATGTTTCTTAATGATAAACATCTGCCTAATTGGTAAGTACTACTACTAACTAGCAATTAACAGTACGAAATTAAAATTTATTAAAGCTGGGAGGTGTGCTATGTATAAAATGCAAGAAAATGTTTTTATTTTTTACGTATAGCAATTAATTTTTACAAACTTACGCTTGTATAGAAAAGTATAAATTTATAATAAAAACGTATGGATTGCAGGTACTATTACGGTCTTTGGAGATGAGGTCCGTCCGACAAATCAATACGGGTCGGAGATTTTCTGTCCTCGTCAAGGGATCGACCAGAAATGCAACGCTATATGCCAGAGAACTGGATATCAACACGGGTTTTGCGATCAAAGGAGTTGTATGTGTAAAATACATCCGTATACACATTAATCGGCCATTCGCGTATCGACCCTGTTATAAACATTTTGTAACGAATGATCGAATGATACATTAATTGGAAATTAAAACTGGTTAAAATGATGAGTATCGTTAGTTATTCGTGTTTAAAACTACCATATTCGGGTAGCAATTTTCAGTCTATTCGGAAGTTCCCGCTTAAACTCAAAAAACTTAACAAATAAACCCTCACTTTGCAAAGTATTAAAGCTACGATTAAGTTTAAAACTCTTCTATTATAAAATATTTACAATGAAGTTATTATTAAGACATAAGTTATAAGTAAATAAATTTTTAGGATATTACATTCAAAAGGTAGTTTCCGGGAAATGAATACGGGTCGATTATAAAGTCCCGATTTGTTTTTGTGAAAATAGTAACAAAATTATTTATATAAGAGTTCAATGGGGAGAGAAGCGCTGTTGTTTGCGCATGGTTTAGAAGATTAACGTAGACGGAAGTACAGTACTGTACAAGAAAACTTCACCCAGAAATTCGGGAAGTTCGCGTCCGCTGGGTCAGTGTCAGAGAGTTGATTATAAAATTCGGATGAACGGGTAATGTACACGATGTAGACGTTCCGGAACACCTTCCGTACCGAACGAAACCGTTCAACGGACGTCTTCGACCAGAAATCTAAGCCGGGTGCTCACCCGAATTAGATTTCTGGTCGAAGATATTTGTTGGACGGTTTCGTGCCACCAAATATGGGGAATTCTTCATTACAAACTCATAAAACGTGCGTAGCGTGTTCGAGTGTTACATACGCCGGAGGAGGAGAAAGAGACGATCACACATTGCTTGGCGGGTGACGTAGTCAAGAGGACTACGTCACCCGCCAAGCAATGTGTGATCGTCTCTCGAAGGCTACGGAACAGGAGGATTTGATAGTACTTCCGTGTACGTTAATCCACTCAAACACGCGCAAACCACAGAAATTTCTTTTCTTGGGTCAGCTCGTTTCACACGACTCGCAAAGAAATGACTTTGTTAACATTTACTCAAAAATGGATCGAGACTATAATCACCCCGTACTTATCCGTCGAAAGGAATCAATTATGTCAAAAAATTTGAACATTTTGAGATTTAAATGAACGAATATTTTGACAGTTTTGATTGTTATATTTTTGTCTTCATTACGCCTATTTTTCAGGCCGAACTGAAAAAGTTATAATAAAATACAGCAAACCTCGATATAGCGCTATCTTGATGAAGTATCAGTAAAAAGCGCAAACAGGTCTTTTTCATTAATATTAAAATAGAAAACTTTACAGTTTTTTGAGTTAATAAACGTTCGATTTGGATCGAAGTGGAATACGAATACCAAAAAGTCGGCGAAAGTGAAATTTTCTAATCACGATTTAATTATTGTTTGGAACCGTAAAATGAAGGATTTGTTCGTCATCACTATTTATAATTAGCGGTTGCCATTCCATAGTTAACGAAACCTGTCAAATGCCAGCGATTGTTTCGGGTCTTGGCCATAATTTCGTTCGAGCTTCGTTTCTATTACAAAATTTATGTTAACAGTCGTTAGATGACACGGACTCGATTGCTGGACGTAAGTACATGAACATTAGTACTTTAAATGCAGTAGTTTTTGAAAGTTATTTTATCTTAAAATAATAAATGTAAGTACGACTCTTACAAAAAAAAATTTTGTTTCAGTCATTTCTTTCGTTGTTCGCACCATCCGCAGTTCATAAAATCACAAATACTCACGGAGACAACCTTCCTAAAAAGTTATTTTATCATTCAAAATTATACAAAACTTCAACAATTGGTGGCCAATATTCCATAAAACAAATCGAATGTGCCAAGCAATGGCCTGCCGTCATTAGAAGCGGTGGAAGCGCCGCTTTCCTCGTATTTTATAAAAAATAAATGCATATTAATTTTAATTATACGAAAATAATCGCGCAATATTTTATTATCACCGCATTACGTATCTTATTATAAATTTCTATACTACACGTGAAAAAAAATAAGATTGCCATTCTATATTCGAATATTAGTGGCGGAGTGGAATCTCTGTATTGTCAGATTCCAAAAAGCCAGATTCGCGCACGCGCTTTACAGAGTACCGACCTCACCCGGTTTAGCTGGTGGAAGCCTACGACCTCGGGTCGATGCTACACATATAACGCGCTTCCAATTCTATCCGGGCCGTTAGCCGCCCACCCGCTAGATATTTACGTGAATAACGAGTAGATTTATAACTTAACCCGACCGATAAGAATATACTGGTACGTTTTTACGATAGTTCTGTATAGTTGACGGGAGTTAAAAATTCCATTAAAATATTTGATATTTTTATTCCGCTCTCCCATCTTATATTACTTACGGATTTCAATGTTAAACCGGTAATATTACGATTTCGTACATCCCATCTTTAAGGGGATGTAGAAAAAACGTGTACAATTCTTGTACGATGTTAAAAAATTAACCGTTACTTTGGTAGCATCGTTTACGACTAAATTTAATGAATGAGAGAGATGCACCAAGTACAGAAAAAGCTGTAGAATTTATTTTCCTTACACTTACGATTTATGTATCCGTTTGTCGTAAAAATTTGTCTTTCCACTTTTTTCCCGAGACTACAAATATTCGAGTACGAAGTAACTTGTTTCGACTTATTTCTACTTCAGAAGCAGTTAAATAATTAGGGAATTGGGGACGTAAACAAAACCCCGACGAAAGAGCCGAAATTTTACTTAAAAGCTTAACCGAACCATCTCTAGCCGAGTACAGTGGAGACTGATTTCTTCGTATTATTCATTAATGTAATAAAGACAAATTTTTCCAGTTCGACGAGAGTGTCCGAAAAGTTGTAAATTTTGGAAATTTCTGAGGGCACTTGGTCCTAAAACGAATTAGTTAGAAAACAAACGACTATTAAGTTTAACAAATTTAGCTATGGTGAGAAACGTTTATAATCTACAACAGCCCTGTCGCGTCCTTTGAGATATACTAATCATGCGACGAAAGAGGTATTTGACATCGACCGGTATCGGCACCCTGGGGATTTGGCAGTCCGCGTGTACGCACGCTCTGCAACCGTCTTGGATTCCATCCATTAAGGCTGGTATACACGGTAAGGAAATCCTCAAAGGATGTGCTTAACAGACGAAAAAAACTCGGATATAACTGGCTGGATCGAACATAGTAATTTACAAAACTTATTAAAATATCTCCCAACGTATAAAGAATTATTTTTATTTAAAAATGGATAGATAGAAAAAAAAATCACGATTAATCCTCAAAGGATTTCCTTACCGTGTATACCAGCCTTTAGCCACTCGTAGGGAGCTATTTGATTGTTTTAAGATTTAAAAAGTAAAGAATATTTTATATTTTTATGTACGTTTCTTTAAGCATATTTAATTATAATTTTCTTTAAAAGTATATTCGTATAATTGAAGAATATTTTGTATGTACCAAACATCCACCACATATTTTATTTCACCGAGTAAGTTTTTATTATTTTATTTTTAATCGTAGCCCTTATATCGTGGCTAGCGATTCGGAATGTAATTGCGATATTAAAATGCATTTAGAGAAGTCTATGGTTTTTACTGGCTTATCGAATAAACGATACGAATGGACCCTAGACCGTCACTGACGCGCGATTGACTGATTGCCCCTGGATGTCGGCGTTTTTACAGAGACACGGCTTCCCTATTGTCAAATGTCACGGCACGCCCCTGGTGCCAACAGATAAAATCACACAATTTCCTATCTGGAAACGTCGCCGTATCGAATACGGATCTTGTTCAAAGGAATATGCAACTGTGTTATAATCGGTTGACAGATTTATTAAGAGAAGAGAGAAGCTTTCTGCCACAAAAAAGAAACAGAAGTTATCACCGATGTTACCAACCGATGTTAAATTAATAAAATACAAAACTGGAAAATCATTTTGTATATTTAAATTGTTTTGTGTACAACTTAATATAATATTCATTTAAACGTTTCTGTATATAACCAGTAAAACCGTCACGAAGTCCTACCCTACACTATCCCATTATCGCCCGACCCCCTCGACCTTTATTCACCAAAATTTAATATCATCGATCCCCTAATAAACAAACCTCCCGGTAAAATATCTCCCGTGCTTTTTGTCGAAAAGCACGGGAGTTATTAAGCTTCAAACAAGATGAACAAAATCGTGCCCCCCACAAACACACTAACATCCATACATACAGAAATTACCCCCAAAATTTTTTCCGTTTCTCGACGTTTCAAGATGTCTTAAGTATAAACACGTAAAAATCTGGGAGGGGTTCATTTTTTTTGCTGGATCGCCATACTTTTCGTCTGTATAACAGCCGGGATAGTAAAAACATTAGGCATCATCGAAGATGGCGGAACCGAAGCAGATAACCATGCTATAAGATACTTCACTACACGCAAACTCACATTTATGTGTATTCTTACCTTCGTAACTATACGCAATTCTTATTATTTGAAGAGCATTATTTTAGTGCCACGTTCGATTTAGTGTGAATTTCAAAGGAATATCATCGCTTACTTTAAATCGAAGTTTCGCCGGGACTTAATGACGATGGGATGGAGAATGGCGTCTAGTTACGAGGCAAAGTTCGACCTTAACCAAGAAATTATTTATTGAAGGAACGTTTTCGGCCGTCTCGGCGGCCATCAGCGGGATGTGGCATAACGGGATAATGGAGCGTTATATTAATATTCTATAAACGAATTAATTTTAGAAAGTTCTAATTTTTAATGTGAAATTTGAATATTGCAATTCGGGTTACATGTAAAACATCAGTTATGAAATATAAAACATATTTAGTTCCACAATGCATCTTCCATTTTTATTAATAAACGGCTTTTAAGCTTTCCAACAAATTCAGAGAATATTTTAAAACAGTTTTTTCCAGGAAGGAGACGTTTTCTTCTGTCTCTTCTCGTTATTATTCAACATTTATGTTATTTATTTATAGGAGTAAAGATCTTTGTTCTCCACCTAACATTTAATTGAAACTACAAACGATGACGTAGCCCAATTCTTACAAATAATTCATTTATTTTTTCTCTTTCCCACTGCGTGGTTTACAAAAAAGTATATTCCCAGAATTAGATGCAGGTGCAGAATTATTTTTATCAAATGTAATAAAATAGGTTCCATTCTTATTAATTAAAAGCTGCATAAAATTTTTATTAGACTTTATTTTATTATTTATTAAATGATTCGTGAATTAACAATACAAAGTTATAAGGCGTTCTTCTTCCACAATTTCCCGTAAAAGTGAAAACGATGCTGTTGTTTTCGTCACTTCCTGTTTAGTGTTTAGTCTTTGGTGTTTTGTGTTTGATCTAAGAATAAACTAAAGTTTAAACCGTTGTCCCAGTTTATACTAATTTTGTTTTTTTAAGTGAGGAGAATATTGTTGCGAAACCTTATGGTTTCTCATTTTAATGAATTATTAATGTTAAGCATTTCATTTAGGTCTCGATTTTTCTATAAATTCTTGTATCGTACAAACCGTAAATTAAATTATGCGAAAGGAAAAGTTGTATTTCCGTTTTTATAACGAAATAAATTAAAGATTTTGAGTGAATTTTGTGTAAGACACTTGTTCCTGCACGTAAGAAGCTTTATTCCGAATATATCAGAGTTGTATTTATGTAAACAACGACCCATTTATCGGGCAAATGATCCAGTTACGATTAGAAATTAATGTTTATTTAATATTTATGAAACGATATTTCCATTAGAATCGATTGGTTGATGTTTACGATCGAACCACTTTTCACATTTGTTCTAATTAGAGCAGCCAACACGTGATTCGAATTGTTTCACGCTTACTATAAAGCCGCCTGCTTGTGTTTTTTTACGAAATCTTGGAAGTGGTAAGTTACGTTTCGTATTAATTACCTGATAATATAAATAGAAGCGGTGTCTCTGATATCTGGGGTTATACTATAAATATAGGCTATAATTATGAAACTTGTGTAATTAATCACTAAAAAGCAACGGTTTTAATCCGTATAGTAGATTATAATGTATATAAATATGTTTTATCACGTTTAATAGTGTAAAGATGTCCGTAAAAAGCGTTCTGCTGTTGATTACCATGGTCTACGCGGATGCGAGTGTGATAACAACGTTCTATAAAGAAGAGAATGCCAAGAAGATGGTGGAAGTGATACGTGTGGAAGGAATCGTTTCAGATTGTTATTTATACGGCGACAAGTAAATACTTTTATTTCCTCGTTACTCCGCGTTCGTATGATAATAATCGATGTATAATTTCTTAGCTGGATCATCGAGCAAATGCTGGACAACGTTCCTAGTAACTTAACTCGAACGGTGTCCGAGGAGGAGTTGAAGAAACGGGTGGATAATTGCACTTCGTTGCTCCTGAACAACCTCCAGAAAGGCTTTTATCACGCGTTGAAGACGCCATTCGATGGCATTCGAAAATTTTTCCGGAGATTTTTGATATTTCCAGGTAGGCCTAAGTCGCGATATCTTTTCCAATCAGTAAATTAGAGATAAAGAATAAACACGTTTTAGGCACGAAATGGTGCGGAGCCGGAAACATCGCGGACGATTACGAAGATTTAGGATCCGCGCGTGAAGCCGATAAATGTTGCAGAGTTCACGATCATTGCAACGTCAGTATTTCCGGATTCGGAGAAGATTATCAACTGAAAAATAAAGATTTCTACACCAAGTAAGGGAATTTCGAAGGAAATTGCGTAATTTAAAAACTTTTCTTGTATTAAGATGCAAATTTTCTACGAAATCAGAAGTCACTGCGATTGCGACGACACATTTTTTTCTTGTCTGAGCCGTGCCGATACTTCGACTTCCAAAACCGTGGGGAATACATTCTTCAACATTTTGCAAATTGAATGCTTCAAGGAAGAATATCCCATAGTCAAATGCTTGAAAACCAGCGGGTAAAATTTTAGAAAACATTTATATTTTATTGTATTTTTACCGTTATAATATTTTAATAAACCTTTTAGAATTAGAAGAAGATGTCTAAAGTACCGGCTAAACAGGAAAAAACCGAAAAAATATCAATTCTTCGATGCTAAGCCGTTCGAAAAGAAAGATAATTGATGATATCTCTACAGAGAAAATGGAATTTACAAGAAAAATAAAAATTCCATCGGATACTTTGATGGAATTTTTCCTATCGATTGACATTACAAAAGAATTGCAGGGGACCTAAATGAAAATTTTGAATAAAAGTGAATTTACTTATATTTGTAAATTATTTAAATTTTAAACATTTAAACCGAGAGTTTTTATTAAAATTAAATCTTGCGCATCAAATGAGAAAATGGCGTCACCGATAACGTCACGTTTGAAGATATTTGCCAAAATGAATAACGCGACGTCGTCTCTTACACACGTTTCCTTCACTTCTTACACACACGTCAAGCTCTAAACGTATCTTTTAAAATTAAAGTAACGAATTATAAATTAAAAACCTGTAAATATAAAATTAGTTATTAAAGGCGAATATTTTCGATAAAAAATGACGTCAAATTAGCCAAATTAGCGGTTAGGTTAGGAAATAGCCTAAATATTTACAAAACTATCCTCTATTTAGCCACGAAGAGGTATTCGAAGGGAAACTGCTAGGCACGAATATTCTAAATGTTCATCTTTGAAATTAAGAATACGACGAAAAGATATTCAATTTATTTTGTAAATAAATTAACCGGAGCACCTCCACGTACCATTTCATGGTAATTGAATAAAAAATTAAAATATTTAAAAAATAATTCTATCAAACTCTTACTTCCGTTAGACTATAATAAGATAATAATGGAATTATTTTATTTTTAAATTTAAATAATAATAGGTCTTTAATTTGATGAAGTATTAAGTAAAAGTAGTGATTATCAAAGGACAATTCCCAGACCATACGCATTTTTTGTATTGGATTGAAGTTGAGAAGGATGAAGAATACGTTTTCGCCAATTCGAGAAATGGTGAATTATTTGAGAAAAACGACGAAAGATACGGCGTAATTTGTATATTTTGCGTCGTTGGTTATTTAATAAACGCGCGCGCGAGTGACCCCAAATTATCGCTAAACTCTCCTAGTATTTGACAGTATAAAAGGATGACGTGTTACCAGAATGGGCTGGGCCTTCGAACGGCGACTCTTCCTTCTTCCGCGTGTCGTTCGTAGAATAACTTGGGAGGGCGATATTCGTTCTCGTTCTCTGACGTTTCGATTTCATAAAGCGTAATAAAGACATCAAAACGTGACGTCGAATCGTTTATTCCTACCATTGGACGGGAGAGAGAAAAGAAGCAAACTTATTTAATCAATAAGAAGGCGAAACGTGTCTCTAAAGTTTAATCCGCTGATATCGCCGTGTACGGTCCGCCATTTTGAAAATTTTATTTATATTTATCGTCTCTCGTGGGGTTATTTTTAGTCACTCGATACATTTTTTACTATTAAATTTTGCTATTCTGTCTCTTATTAAACTTTCTATAATACATAATATTATAAAGCATAATTATGAGCATTTTTTTAAGTAAAGAAAGAACTACGATTTTATTAATGTTAATTTATTATGACTATAATCTATCAATAAGACTTTAAATTAACAGCGGGTTTTGAAAAATATAAAATAAGGAAATTATATGAAAAAGGAAAATGGAAAATGGGTGCGAATAAAAGTTTATTCGTTTGAACCGAGAAACGGATTCAATCTCTAATTTTATCGGCGAGTTAAATCAGTATAAAAAGTCCTATTAATGGATTTTAGTCACGATAAACTAATATTAATAAAATAACATTTAAAGGACTAGAAACTTTAATTTAAAAAGAAATAATAAACGTAGACGACACAAATAGACGTTATTACGTTTATAATTAGGCTACCGTGAATATATTCGCTACAATTAAAATTAACTATATTTCGATATCGATAGCAATTTTTCTATTTTATAGAATTTATTTATTTATTGTTTCAAAATATAAACAACGAAAAGACAATTGTCACGCGTACACATTTTACGTTAAAACAATAAATTCGAATTTATGGTTTAATTAAAAACTTATTGTATTATAAAAATAAAACCGCAAATTCGATTGGCTTATTAAATTATAAAATATATTGCTTAATAATTAATAATTATACGTATAAATAACATTTAATTTTGGAGTTTTACGCGTAGACTATATCCACTCTATATAACGGATCATAAAAAATGCTACAATAGATCAGTCGAGAGCGTTAATAATTTATTAAACTTTTGTAAAATTTATAATTTACTTATAATTTTACACTTATTTTTCGTTCTTTCGTTATTAAATGCAGTTATATACCCTATAAATATGCATAAATTGCCGCAATCTTTCAGATATGATATCAATTCAGATTCTACTTGTACAGCCAGAAATTATTCAATACAGTACTTGCGGTTTATCTCTACTTGTTTTATGTAGGAATATATTATTTTTTAAATTATTATTTAAAGCATATACGAATGAAAAACGATCTACTTACCCGCTTCATCGCTAGACATTTTAAGTAAATTCGTATCTCAAACGTCAACAAACATCAAAACCTTCGTATACTCTTTAAAAAGTGCGGAATTTTTAGCATTAAGTAATAAAACGAAACCTAAAACTTTATAAAGATCTAAAAATACCAACAATAAACGCGACATTATTCTTATTTCAAATGAATATTAATAAAATAATGAAAAATATCGCGTAACAATTTCTCCTCCCTGACCGGAAATGGAACTGTAAACACGCCGCAGGACGATGCGATCCAGAAAAATTTCCACCCTTTAATTTTACGCGTTAACAGGGAATCAAATAGGCACAAAATACAAAGAAATAAACTTAAATATTTCTTAAAATTTAATTTTTCGATTTAGAGTACAAAAATGTTTCGGAAAACAAAGAAAATTAAGTAGGCGCTTACAAACATCAACAGTTGAAGTAAAAATAAAATTACACAACGAAATAACATCAAACAATATATATATTTGCAGTCTTTAGCAATTTCGTTAATATTTAAATTGTAATTAATGGATGGATACGAAAGATCTCTATTAAAGATGTCGGAGAACGTCACTAGATTACGAGTTACGATTGTTACTTTTAATGTTGAATAAGGCTTAATTTAAACAAGATTTGTTACAGAATACCCGGCTATCTCTTGTTTAAACGACATTTTAAAACGAATTCGCACTTATTTTAGTAGAAATCGCGTGAGAGCACGGAAAGTCAATCTCGCACGAACCAGAGGATTTCAAATGCAATAACAATCCTTTAATTTCTACTTTGCACGAAATTAAAATAGCGATGCTCTTATCTTCCACCCACAAAATCGGAAAAAATAAAATAATCCGAGTATTAATTTTCGTATAGATTTAATTAAATTTTCATCGCCTTACAGAAACAAAGATATAAAATATCACGCTATAAAATAGAAAAGTTTTCCTCTAGCAGTATAGAACTTTCATATACAGTACTAAAACATTCTGTCTTAGTGGACATTACAGTAAGACTATATTGAAGCTTTGTTTTTACTTAAACTTGGTAGCTTCGTTTCAATTTTTAATAATTAGAAAAATTATAAAGTTTTTATTTAACTTTTTACTTTATTTAAAAAATTTTAGTAAGCTTAAATTGGCATATTTAAACTTATATAAATATACTTTTACGCAATTCAATAATGCGCTTCGAAGGATGCCACGAATTGAAAGAAAAGAAGTTTGCTAGTTGTCAACACTCGGCCATTTCGCCTGTTTAGTTTGATGGTTCTTTATTTGTTCAGTCGATTTCCTGGTTAAACTTTGTTTTACGTCACTTTTTGATGGATGAGATCGTCGCGTGACAAAACGGGCGAACCTTTCGTCCACACGTCGCCACGTCATCCTCCGGGGCCACATTTTTGACAATAATTTCCGACTACTCTTCGGCTCTAGGTACAGTACATCGTATTAATGTTTAAAAGCCCCGCATTATAATCAGCCTGATGGCAATTTAGGCGATACATTTACAAATATTCGTTAATATGGCGGTCGAAATTTCGTAATAAGACCGAAACGTCCGTCGAATACGAAAAATGAGAGAACGGATTTCCCAAATATAGGCAATTCATTCTTCACTTATGTGTTAAATACGAAATAATATTACGTCTCGAAAGAAATTATTAGAATGTCGAGAAATAATTTTAATAGCATTTCAATATTATTTAATATAGAAATAAAATAAAATTGAATACTAATTTCGTACGGGTTGAAGAAAGAGAACGAGACGCGTCGGCAGTAAGACGACGAGAAAAAGGAAGAAAAAGAGAAATAAATTAGAATGGGATAATTATAGAAGTGACGATAGCCAAAGGTAAAATTCTAATGAGACAGTTACGGGAAAAGAAGAGAGGAGATACGAGGGACAAAAATCTATTAATTAAGACTTGAAAAAAGGCAGTCTTTGTTTCTCCAAATTCATCATCTAAATGGGGACGATTTGAAAGACAATCTTGAAACATTAAAAGCGAGAAATAACGCAGTATAAGAGATGCGGGCCTATCCGAAACACGTGAAACTTTAAAGAGTATTCTCCAGATTTTAACTAAATTGTAGACATTTCAAACGTAGGCTATACATGAACGTCCCTCTTGATAACAAGAAAGACGTTCTCCCCGAGTAAAAGTTTTATCGCAGCGTAAAAGGTGATCATAACCGATGAATATAGGCACAAAGATGTAAAATTTTATGTTACTACGAAAGTTGTTTAGTTACTGGTAATTAACTCGGGTAGATCGAACAGATAAATGCTGCTTAACAATCTGAAATTAATTTTTAAATTTTTTTTAAGTTGTTGGCAGCGGGATTAATTGGAAACAATTGCACACGATTATTAGAATATTTATCTTTATTCTGCGAAAAGAATTATTAAAAAAATGTTTTCAGTTTTTCATACGAAAGTTACTGTATATTCTGTAATAATTAATAAATGTATTTACTGTGTATTTAATTGATTTCATTCAATAACTATTTTAAAAATATTTACATAAAATGTGTGCTTTTGTGCTACAAAATAAAATTATTCCTTTTATTATGAATAAATAGATAATAAATAAATAAATACATTATAATTATTATATTATTTAATATGATTTTATATTACAATTAAATTAAAATTTGGATAA